AGTTTTCTGTTTTCTTGCATGTGCTTGTTCATCTTGTGCTCACAAGTCCTCAGTCCCATGCCCAAGTTTCCTTCTGTCTTGGGAGAGAATCCAGTGTCCAGAACTCATCTAGACGAATAAGGTGTGTATTAAGACACAGCAGTTCGTTCGCTGCATTTTTGTAGTTTTTATTTTCTTGAATGAACCCTGCATATATAGGCCTATTGTAGACCTGAAAAGAGGGAGATTAATTGAGTCTAGAGCTTGTATGTGTGCACAAGACTTTAAGGTGCCACCTCGTCCACCCTTCTGGTTTGAAGCAGGATCAAGCACTGAGACTGGTCTTGAGTGATTCTGGATTAAGCTGGCATTTGATTAACCTCATGTTAAAACCCTGCATGTCCTCAGCACCCTCTTTTAAGGGTTAGCTGGAAAACTTTCTTCAATATCTCTCTGAACCTTCACACAACCGATATCCACAAAACCCTTTCTATTTTCTGGTTATACAGGTTAGTACTCAGAGGACATGAGGAGTAATTAATTAATCACTCTATAGCTTTTACAGAGAGATTGTACACAGGCTTTGTGTACAAAGTAAGCTTCTTCACCAGGGAACTAAAAATCCTATTTGCCCTGTATTTAATGGGCTATGCTTTTTTAGAGCATCAGCAATGTGTAGGTTTGTTTAAGAGATAGATGATGTAGTGCCACGGGTGAGAAATCAGATCCTCAGACCTCCCCTGAGTGCCTGGCAGGGCAGGAAAGTAGTGTGGTCAGTGCCAGGGCCAGCCCAGACAATATAGCTGCTACTGGAGCCAGGTACAGGCAGCTCAAGTCCTGTAAATTCTGGGTTATTTGCACTAGCTTTTCCCCAGAAGCCGCAGAGTTTTAAGGAAGCAAATGTTCCCAGTGAGGGGCATCGTGAGAACGGCTGGGATTGCAATGCAGTCTTGTGTGGTGTCTCCTGGTCAGCCTGGTCCAGCAGAAACCATCATTCTGATAAAGTTCATATTTGCCCCTAACTTCAGGCTAGGGATTTTATCGAAGGCTGTAATTCCCTTCAACTCTTAACAATTGGCTTCAGTTTCATGTCTGTTGGCCCTTGCTCTGAATATTCTTCATTGTTCTCTATCCTTATGATCACTTCATCTCCTTCTACCTGCTTCTAATTTCTCTCCTACATATCAGTACTTCTCAGAACCTTTTCATTTTCTTTTTCTCTCCTTGCTATTAACCTCATCAAATACTTTTTCTTCTGTGCTAGAATTTGGAATTATAAGTATCAGTGCTTTTGGATGAGATATGGTAAGAAAACAGTGTCTCTCTTTCAAACAACTCTGCTTCTGCCCTTGGAAAAAATTGCAGGGTTTGGTAAAGAAGGTCAACAGATGAGCAAAATACAACAGGTCTAAAAGTGTCAAATTCATAACTCCAAGGCAATATAGAATATAAATCCAAGTACTCCTGATTCCGTGTGTCAAATCTGCATGTTGGTCTTCAAATTTCTGCAATGCAGATGGAAGCAATGCAGGAATCTCAAGGTTTGTGAATTCTGAGCAGCAAGGTGGGAGAAGTGTACTTCCAGTTAGGTGCTTCCCTCTTTTTGGGGCACAGTGCAGCGTGGCCTCTGCTTGAGTGTGACCTGTTGTGTTTGGCTGGTGATGCTATAGCTTTGACATGTGTTTTTAAGTGATTACTTCATCATAGTTTTGTTAGGCTTTTAATTTTTTTTTTTTTAACTTCTGACAGTTTCTCAGAATGATGTCAATTTTTTCCAGTTGCAATCTATTAATAGACAGTAGATCATCAACATTTTTTCTATATGAGAAGCACATATTTATTCAGCATAACAAGGTACCTTTCTATGACCCTGTTTCATTGGTTTGGCTTTATTTTTGTTGTGGGTTGTGGTTTTGGGGTTTTTTGTTTTTGTTTTTTTTTAAGTTAGGAAAAGAATAAGTTAAAAGATAATCTACCCATAATTCATCAAGACTACAATCTGTACGGTGATTAGTATAGAGAATTTCAACTTCCCACATTTGTGGTGACAGGAAAATTTTGTCTTTTTTGCGGGTTGGTAGCTTTAGGAGATTGCAGTGTATCTGTTAAAACTCCTGTTATATCACCAACATAAATTGCAACGGGTGGTTTTACACCAGGGAGGTTTTGCTGACAGAGACCCTTCCATCAAAATCCTATCACGAGCAAAAGACCCTTTCTGCAAGCAGGTCCTGGCCGCGGAGAGCAGCGTGGACACCAGCACAGTCAGTCTGAGCATTGTGAAATATTTTAAACTGCTACTGCTCCCAAATTCTGTGTTTTTTCCCCCCTCTACTTCTTCTGCAGCATAACACTTTGCAAGCAGGGGTCTTCGACATGACAGACTGAGATAGGTTTGTCTGGAGGGATTGGAGTATCTGAGGGGAAAGAGCTTTTTGTTTCTTTTTTATTCGTAATCCCTCTTGCTTTCAGCAAAATTCAATGAAATGGCAAATGGGCTGATGAAACTCTGGCTTGTTATCCCACTGTGAATCCAAGGATAGTTCTCTTGCCCTCAAGTAACATAGAGGAAATGGGAGAAGCTTTTAGTTAGAAATATGTAAGCAAGCCTAAAACTTGTGCAGAAGCAGATCCTTCAGGTGCTGGGATAATTTTTATGCAAGAGACTGTGGTGACTGTAGAGTTTGGACTCTTCTCAGTATGACAATAGTCAGGCGCAAATTCACAGGGTCACAACTTTGTTCTTTTAAAATCCCACCTCAGGCTCCTAAGGCCGCTGCGGGTGTGCGGGGTCTCTGGGCAGAGGCGGGGCTGTGCGGGCGGGCACAGCAGAGCCCCTCAGCGCCGCGGGGGCAGCCTCTGGGACAGGGGCAAAACACCACCTGGGGCGAGGGGAAACGTGTGAGGGAGCAGCGTGACCCCGGGGGGGTGGAAGAGGAGGAGGAGGCGGCTCCAGGCAGGAGCAGGGATTCCCCGCAGGCCCACCCCGGAGCAGGTGGGTATGTCCTGAAGGAAGCTGCAGCCCGCGGAGGGGACTCACGCTGGAGCGGGGGAAAGGGCGAGGGGGAAGGAGCGGCAGAGAGGAGCCGTTGGGTGCTGACCGTAACCCCCCGTTCCCTGTCCCCCTGTGCCGCTCGGGGAGGGGAGGCCGAGGGCTTGGGAATGAAGGAGTGAGGCTGAGTCTGGGGAAAAATCGATGCGGTTTTAATTTTGCCTTTTTTTCACCATCCAAATCTAGTTTAATTGGCAATTAGTTAAATTGATTTTCTCCAAGTCAATTCTGTTTGGCCTGTAACGGTAACTGGTAAGTGATCTCCCTGTCTCTATCCTGACCCGTGAGCTTTTTCATTTTATGTTCTCCCCCCTGTCCTGCTGAGGCAGGGGTGTGAGAGCAGCTGGGTGGGTGTCTGGATGCAGCCCAAGGTCAACCCACCACTGCTGATTTGGCAAGTAGTATCCCGTGTCTTATATTCTGCCTTATTCTGAAGTTCAGGCATTTGAATTTTTTTGGTTTTAGCTAGTTTTAAAACCTTTCTCATCAATATCTATCGTAAAATGAAGTTGTATTCAAATTCAGAAACTAGCAACAGTTGTTCTCTGTGGTTCTACTTTGGGATTCAGTTCCAGCAAATGCCCAAAGAGGAAGGATCTCCATGAGGTCCTCTGGCAGCCTTGTCGATGTTGATGTGTCTGGAAATAGATGCAAAATTTGGTGAAGAGGGTTTCCGTGTAACTTGCTAGGAGTGTTGTGTGGCCATCCACTGTGATATTCTGTCCGTGCTTTAAGACCAGTTATAAAGGTCTCACAATCAGGAGAAGCTTAGTATTGGCCAGGCTGGGAAAGAATGTGGGATTTTTTTTCTTTTTTTTTTGCTTTAAAAACAATGACCCAATACAAGAAGTCTATACAGTGAATTTAAACAATTATGCAAAGTTCTTTATTTTCAGTAATTCCATTTTCTTTGATCTTCTGTAGTCTGTATTCCTGTCTGTATTCATTTCTGAAAGTGTAATGCAGTTTTTAAAGATCCAATAGAAATGAAATGTAAAATCAAAATAGGGAGAGCGTAGAGATAAGTGAAAGGTCTACAGCAGCAGTAAATCAAGGAGCAGATAGGGAATACAGAACATTGCCTACAAAAAATCCCCTTTCACATGCAAATACATTGTTCAGAGATGTCAAACCCTGAAAAGTTTGCTTAGCAATTACAAGTTTGTGGTGAAGACCTCTTAATCACATAGCTGGTAGTTACATCACTAACATTTTTTTTCTAATATTTTGTGCAAAGTGAAGCTACTGGAATCGGAGAAGGAACTTGAAGGAAAGTCTCAAATCTTTGTACTTCAGAGACGTTTTTCTCTTTATGCCAGCCTTTCTAAATGTTTAAAATCTTCCATGTAAAGTGAAACAGGATTATTGACAGCTGCTGTTTAATTAAAAGTTCTCATAATTCTTAGCCGTACTGATGTTGCAGCTCATGCACTATATTACAATTCTGGTAATTAGTACGAAATGTTATAGTTTTGTTGTTCTTTTATATAATACTTTTGCAGTAGACTATGAGGTTGAATATTCTGTAAACAACCAATTCCAAGCATAAAGATTTGCTGGATATCTGAAACCACCTTGCCAGCAGAAGAGCCTTTAGAGATCCCGGGTTACTGTGAGGAGGATAACAAGGTCTCTCCTGCCTACTGCCCAGTTTGTAGAACTAGGTGTGCATTTTGTGTATTTGATTTGAGGGGTCACAAAATGTTCATGTCCAAAGTGGTTTTTCTCCTGCCTCCTGAATTAGCATGGTCAAAATCTCTTCATCCTTCTGAAAGTGCATATTCATAAGATTTGTCTATGAATTATAGTCACAGAAATATAAAGCTTCTTTGAAAGTTTTTCCCCTTAGATTGAGAGATATCTCTTCCCGAGATCTGTAGGCAAGCCGATAACATAAAGATGCTTGAAGTCTGTGTTCCAGAGTGGATACTCATAATTGTGTTTTTTCTTTTTTCTTTCCCCCTCCCAGTGGAATTTGATGACTGCAAGGGGAATAACAAATTGAACTTCGAAGTTTCTAACCCAGACTTTAAGGTGGAACGCGATGGGTCTTTAGTTGCACTAAAGAATATATCAGAAGCCGGCAGAGCCTTGTTTGTCCATGCGCGGTCTGAGCATGCTGAGGATATGGCAGAAATTTTGATTGTTGGAGCGAATGAAAAACATGGTGCATTAAAGGTAAGATGAATACAAAAGACTAGAAGAAGGTGCCGGGGAGATGCTGCTAGATGTTTACAAGTGCCATCTAGGACTGTAAGCAGTTTTAATCTGTTAGCAGAGATCAAAATCAGTCTTCAATCCAGATATTGCTGTAACATTTTAGTGCTTAGTTTAAATTAAAATACAAATTTTCCAGGTTTTGGATGATGTATTACATCTTCAGGTGTAAATGCTAAACATTCATGAAGAACTGAGTCCAATGAAAGAGCCTGAGTGTCAAAATCGGCTGGTTCTTGTAGTGTACATTATGCCAGATAACTACAGTTTGGCCAACACTGAACATGAAAAATCAAAGCCTAAACTGTGAAAGTTAGAATTTACAGAACCTTCATGTTCGCTCCAAGTCTAAGTATGTGGGAATGAATTCTATGCTGTGGAATTTAAATTTTCATATAGGTCTGCTTATGTGATATTGCTCCGTGTTAAACTATAACAACATCTGCACACAAATAGCAACACATATATACATTCTGTGCGCTAGTGGTTTTAGTTTCACTCTGTCCACTGAATGATGTGTCTGTCTTTTCCACTTCTGAATGTCAGTGTAATACTAACCCCGTACTATGGGGAAAAAGTGCTTCCCAAATTGATTGAATTGTTTACTTCACACCCATGAAAATAACAAAGGAAATGTGAGGGAGCCTTCAGTTCTGTGTCGTGGTACTTAGGAGAGAGACAGGACGACAGTGCCTTCCTGGTCTTACAGTTAAGCCTGGTACCTTTACAGACCTGTAATTTCAAGGAAGTATAAAGAAACCACGATAAAAATGACTGACCTATTGTTTTATTTTGGTATTTAGACTTTCAGCCACCAGCGTTCTCATTATATTTCCAAGAATGCCTTAGTTTAACTTAAATCTTCTATTTAAAAATAAAAATATTAGTTTTAGGAGAAAGGTTAAACAAACTTCTGAAAGTCCGTGGCTGAGGAAAGGTTTTGATTTGCACTTTAAGCAGCGTGCGATGTGAATATAGATTGCTAGCAGGAGTGATGGTACCAGAATGTGTAACTGCAGAGAGCTGATCAGAACACTTAAATGGAATTTAATTTAAATAAGCTGTTTCTTCACAAAGTTAAAATTTAACAAGGTCATGTTTGAGAGAGCCTTTTACATGGTGAAGTTGTGGATTTAGGACCATGCACTGCCAAATTCAGAGCAGGAAAGCTACACTTGCAGGAGCTGGGCACTTGGGTGTCCTGTGTCTTAAACTAGCAGGGAATGCTCCTTCTGGTGCATTCACAAGAACGTTCAAATGATTTTGTTTTCACTCCAGGTTTTGAAATCTTAGGAGTAGTTTCAGAATGGGGATTCTCATTCTCCGGTTAGAAATTACCGAAACCACAGAGGAGTTTGAGACATCTCTGACAGGATGTCTGGAGTTAAACTTCAGGTGATGGATTTATGTGTGAAGATCTGACTCTGAGAATCATATTCTGATTTTCTTAGAGAAGCAGCTCTTCAATATCTTGGAGGGAAGGTATTTTACTGAAGCTACAGTCTAGGGGAAGTCTTGTCTCCTGAGTGGGAATTAACAGATGTGTATTTGCACAAACTGTGATACGGCTTTGTCACTGACCTTTTCTCTTCATGTCCTGTTTGGGTTCTGGGTAGTCTCTCCTCAAAATGTTCCAGCAATATTAATTAATGCCTGGTGTTGAAATCTATCACCAGACTAGATTCAACAGCCAAGTCTGATTTGGCCCCACTCCTGGATTCTGTTCCAACCACTTTGTGTTGTTCAGAGAGAGAAAACCAGTCTAAGTCTGGCATATTCTGCCACTTGCCAGTCTTCCCTCATAGGTGACTCCTCAAAGCAGTATCACAACCTCATCTCTACCTGCGTTCTTCACTTCCTTACGGATTTTGGTATTCAGTTCATAACTAGATTACCCTTCTCGTGTGGTGATCTTTGGTGTCTGCAGTGCCATTGAAGAGTTACACAGTGCTTTGATGTGTCCTGGGAAATCCACCTAGTGAGGATCATCCTTGTCTTCAAGGGAATATAAAGACCTTTGGGACTGGCTGTCCTACTCTGACCTCAGCCAGCACTCTGTAGCTGTTAAATCAATATTTTTTACCAACCATCCCAGCTATTGTTTGCCTATTTAAACCACAACAGACAGTCTTGTCTTTCTGTTTGTCATCCTTGAGAAGGATATAAAGATTACAGCATCCTATCTAAAGTGATTTTATGATAAATTTGAACTTAATCCTGTACTTTTGCAGTCTAAATGTGTCAGCATGGAAACAGCAGAACTGCTCCATCTGTTTATGCAAGGAGTCTTGGCTAAGAAATGCTCAGATGGAGCCTTAGTAATTCAGCATAATTCTGTAGGGTTAAGATGAGCACATGCTAGAGCACTGCTTAGCATTCAGTACTTAGAGTACAGTACCTTGTTTAATTAGGGGATAAGTAGTTCTTAAGTATTTCCCTTTTGCCAGCAACTGCCGTTTCTTTTCTGAAAGCATGTAACCTACATCTGTGAAATCCCATTGTTAATGTTTCTCATCGCAGATTCCCAACATGTTAGGAAATGACTAACAATGATCTCTAATGTGCTGACTGGCAGTCTGAGCCTAGGAAGAGATAGCGTAATTCCTGGATTTTCTGATTGCTACTGCCCATACTTTAGATGAACACTGAAAATATTTAGAGGTGCAACCTGGAGAGTGCAGAGAAGCTTTTAGTGTTCTAGTGGTGGAGGGGTGCGGTTCTTTCCTGCTGAAGATGTGGGAAGATTCCAGCTAGCCTCACTGCTCAGCCCTACGGGATTAATTTAAACTAACTTCATGGCCACAGCATGATCAGTGGCTGTTAGAGTCCCACTTACTATTTCACTCTGCTTTTGGAGTCTGAAGGGCATGTGTTCTTACTCATCTGCCAGAAGCATATTAGATTTGCAGAGCCTGCAGCTTTCTATCAAAGGGTGGCCATAACTACAATGTGAGAAGATAGATGCTTCCTCAACATCATCAGCCAACTTGGCTGTTGCTCTCTGATCACAGAATCTTTTTTGCAGAGTCTAGTGACAGAGGAGCAGATACAGCACTGCTGCTTTTCCAGATGTCTGGATGTTTCTGCAAAATAGTCTAAACCCCCTCAAATCTATACCTACAGATATGCATATATGCTCTTGAGAGCAAAAATCTGTACATCAGATTAGATAGACTGATTTTTACAACCTGCTGCTTCTGCCCCTGTCCTCCTATGGTTTTGGCTGGATATACTGGTTACTGTCTGTCTTTTCAGAGGGGAGTATTCACAAAAAAAGCTACTGTTGGTTTTGAGGCATGTGGCATACGGGTGCACAGAAGAGTTGCCATGGGCCTATGGAAGGTGTAACATTATAGTGTGTCTTCTTTTTAATAGTTTTCTGTGGGTACACACTTGTACCCTCAGGCAGCCGGAGTGCTCAGTGAAGGAAATGAAGCTCACTTGTATTCACCGTGGGGTTGTGTTGGTGAGGCATGCACACCTGCACTCGGGCTCTGCTTTGCCCTGTGTTTGCTTAATACTCCTTTACGCAGTCAGGACTTGAGTGCTTGGTGACATTAAAAAAAGGCACGGAATTGTTTCTATTCACGCAAGTTTCCCAAAATGAACTTCTGAATTCTGAATAATTCATAGAATTGCGAAGGCTCAGATCCCTAATGGAAAAATAAATCACTTGCAAACCCTAGTTGGGAACAAACTGACTGAGCCAATGAGTGACAACAATTTCTTTTTTTTTTTTTTCTTATGTTTTATCCAATGCTTTGTCTCTGCTTTGTTTTCTGGAAACAGTAGGATAACTGGAAGTTGGAAATTTCATTACATCAGAGCATTTGGCTAGACATTAGTGGATTTATTTACTTACTTGTTTTGTGGAAGACAGAAAGTATAGCCAATCTCTTGCAGAGTCTCGTAACAGATTGTGAGTTGCTAACGGCAGCAAACTGGGAGTTGAACCGAGTCCTCCAAGGCTAAATAAAATGGTTGGCTGCTACTCCTTCTCCCCCTCTGTAATCTATTGCTGGGTTTAATTAATATACCCTTAGTACACTGGGAGCAAAAAGAAAACCTTGGGAAACAACCTTTCTCTGCCTTTTTTTGTGCGTTGGCGAAATGCAGCCTTCCCCCC